TTTAATGTAAATATGTAAATATACATTTCATGCAGAATGATTATTAATAAAAGTAGGTAAATATTGACAATGAATAAGATGTTCACCCAGAACTCAAAACTGAAAGAGTTTTGTCCACTACACCTTTAGTTTAGACAGCATGGATGTTCAAATATATACCTCTATTTGTTAGCGAAGGCTGTAGGAAGGTATAGTTTGTCTTTATTCAGAAAATATGGATGTTGTGGTTGTTCATTTTCCTGTTGGAACAGTAACCCTGAGGTTCTGGCACCTATCCGCTTTCGGCCACCCCTCAGTGTACATTGGTTATTCCCTGGCCACCTATATTAACATTCCCTGGCTAAGCCTCTGCACCCTGCAGCCAATCAAAATTGAGTATCCACCCAAACCACAGCTGTGTTCGATTTCTGCGGCTGCCTCCTCCAAGGATCCGGTCCCCCTGGACTGGGTCCTTCCAAGTCCATGAAAATAAGGAGGTTGGAACAGTTTGACTATGGATTCAAACAGGTCCAGCCTTCTCTGGCTTTCACCGCATATGATCTGTTGCCTAGCAACCGTGGACAATTGACACCTGGAGCAGGCAAAGAATGGATGCTGAACTTCTCATTGCTGTTCTGGGTCTTGATAACATTTCGGAGGAGCTTCAGCAGCAGTACCATCGTCTCAGATATCAGATTTATAGTCCCCACCCTGCAGAGATCAAGAAACTTGAGTGGAGATTATTGGTGTGGACTGTCCCTGCCAGACCAACGTTGGTGGGGACACATCCACGCCAATCCTTCAAAAAGTTACGCCTGTGGTCTGGATCCTCTTAAGTGCTGAGAAGCTCCTCTCAGATTCTGCTGTGGTCATGGGAGTTGTGATGAGGAGCCAGAGTCTGTGAGAAGGTATCCTGAAGATTGTTCCCCATGGACAGCTGCTGCAGAGCCTCAGCACCACTGCAGCTCATCATTGCTGTAGATCAGCTCAGTTTAATCCATGCTGGGTCAGATCCTGACGTTTGAAAAAGGAGGCAGGGAAAGCAGAATAAAGCCTTAGCCTTGCTGCATGCAGTTAGCCAAGCCTTGTAGCTTAACCAGGTCCTGGAAAAAGACAAGAGTGAACCGTCTCCATCAGTTCCAAACGGTTTCACCTCCAGCTTCTCTTGGTGAGTTTGCTTCCGTCAATCAGCCAAACTATGATTGTGACATCAGTTTCTGTCAGATCTAGGCACCGGAGAGCTGCTCCCCAGGATGCTCCTATCTGTTGCAGTGACGGGGCGCCGGCGGGAGTGTTTATCTTCCAAAACAACAATGTTGTGTCTGCAAGATATCACAGTCACAGAGTTGATCTAGAGTTGCTAGACGTCAAAGAGGATATATTAATTTATATAATTTGTCGGAGGCATCATACAAGTGGTTGTACTTCCGAACCTCCTCGATTAGCCTTTCGTAGTATCCTTTCGACCATTTACAGCTGCTTCTTGTCTGCGCACTTCCGTTTGAGGTTTGTGCAGGTTTGCAACCGTCCGACACGTAGTCAGGAGATTCACCCACCAGCACAGATACGGGTGGGTGGGGCGCACCGCCTAGCACCCTCTATTGGCCAGCTGCCACTGGTTACAATTATACTGCATCAAAGCAGAAGCATTTTAAGTGTCAGAAATGCTAAATGCAGAAATTTGGATGCAGACGCTGGATCAAACTGTGGTTCAGCTGCTTTGCTGCTCGGCTCGCTGGTTTATCTGCTCCATTCTGTAGCTTCAAGCTAGAGAGCAGCTTGGCTTTATTTATTTTATGAGTTGGAAAAATAGTTTGAAAGTGAGAAAATCCACCTCCAAATATCCTCTGTAATATCCAAATAAAATCTGCAGTTGTTGTTGGGAGCACCAGACCTCCAGCAAAGTGCCGTGCCCCACATATTTGGGGGAAGGTACTCCATAGGAAAAAACGGGAATTTGTGTGGCGCATAGGATCGCTTGCCTATTTCAAATCATTAAAGCTACAGTGTGTAACTTTTAGCGACATCTAGCGGTCACACTGCAGACTGCAGCAACATGAACATCTCCCCCCCACCGCTTCTCCCCCCAACAGTACGGCGAGCGTTACGGGACAAAATGTCTTCCACGACGTCCGCATCACCTACCTTCTCAAGTGATGAGGTTTGTTTACATAGATAATTTTACAGATAGTATTTCATTAGTCTGTGTAGGGTATAGATTTCATGTAGACTTAAGATAATAAATATACCCGTTATTTTTTCTACATCGTTGTGACATTTTGGCGATCTCGCAATCGCTAGTTTGTTGGCTCTGTGCTGCCGTAGCGCAAAGATGTCGGCCTCCATGGCTGCGAGACCCGCTCCTATGTAATTATAAATAACGAATTCTAAGGCAACGCAAATATTAAGGTTAAGAGGCTGAGCTCGTAGATGATGATAAAATAACATAGTTATGTATAATATATTACATTTCTGACTGTATATCCCTGTAATTATTACACACTGTAGCTTTAACCACATCCTGTCTGATAAATGTCTTTGTTAATACTGAATACTCTAAAGCTCAGTTTCACGAAAAGATTGGTAACAAGAGAACACAGTTTAATGAAACATTAGTGTCTATAAAATAATTAACCATTTCAAACCAGTTTTGGTGGGGGGTGAGGCGAGAGGGGGGTTTGTTGTGCCAATGTATAAAAGTTAAAGTTTTTTTGTAAAAAAATCCAGAAAAAAATAAATTATGGGACTTCTTTAATTCAGCGTTAGAAGGGCAGCAGCTCTAGCCCAATGTAGTGTATATCTGTGCATGTCCCTGCTCCAGCATATCGCCGGGAGGCAGCTCTGGAAATCCCTGCTGAAAGCTCTCTGCTGCACCAGCCTGTGGGGGATTTCCTGCTGCCGTTCATAGCGGCTGGAAGTGGAGGGCGACAGTGGCGTTGGATGTAGGAGTTTGCCCTGAAATCGAAGGGTTGAAGGTTCAAACCCCGCCTCCGACTTTCAGTCGGGCAAGACACTTCTACTGATGGTGGTCAGAGGGCCCAGTTGCGCCAGTTTACGGCAGCCCCACTTCTGTCAGTGAGCCCCAGGGCAGCTGTGGCTACAATGTAGCTTGCCACCATCAGTGTGTGTGTGAATGGGTGAATTAATGTAGTGGAAAGCGCTTTGGTCAAGTCTCCTGTCTTGAATAAAGGCGCTATATAAGTACATGCCATTTACCATAGAAATACAAAGTTTGTGGTAAAAACTGCAAGAACCAGAATATACAATCCAACATTTTTCATCTGCAGGTGTTAATTTGGGTATTTATAAACTGTAAATACCCACTGTTTCTCCATTGTTCATTAAAAATGTTTTAGTGCAGCAATAATGATCAGAGCTCACTCTCTGTTCCTTCTACATAACAATGCCTTCTGCCAGCTTTTGGAGTTTATTTATTTTTCATATGCAGAATGTCTGCAGAAGCGATGACAGCTTGCATGTAGAGTCTGTCTCCCCAAAAATTTGCTCTAAACTGTCCAACATGGACTTATCAGACGCTTTTACGCTCAGAACACGCATAGTTTAAATGCAGCCTTATAGTCATGGTAAAAGAAACTTGTCCCTTTTTAAAATCAATGGTTTTACACACAGCAACTTACAAAATGAGTCACAACTCCTTGAACTTTGTTCATGTTTTGTTGTATTAAAACCACAAACTCGATCATCATCCTCCTGGAAGGAGGGGAGTTTACCATGGTCTGACATCTGGCAGAGCTACTCAACTGTGTGCCCACATCATAATACTGCCACCACCTCTTCCACATGAATCTGATCTCCTGCATGGATTGTAGTAAACAGCAGAGAGGACTTCTTTTTTTCTTTCTTTCAGCAACTCTTCAAACTGGCTGCTCCTGTGAGTGTCCCCGCCAGCACATTAACCAACTGAGCTGTAAATCCATGCAGTTCCTCCAGAATCACAGCTGCACGTCTTCTCTGCTGTCAGTTTAAGGCTGACAGCCACTGGTTTGGCTTTTTTCACTTTTTCCCCCGTATGGATTGCATAAACGGTGCTCTGTGAGATATTCAAAGTTTCTGATGTTACTTTATAAGATTTCTGAGTTATTCAGGAATGTTTTCCAACAAGGAAGAGGAAGGCGGAACTACTTTCAGATGAAGTAGGACACGTTTCTGTCCTTTCAAGAGAGTCCAACGGAAAAATGAACACGGTTGAGGTAAAACTGTGGGCAAAGCCATAAAATATGATGATGAGGCGCATCACCAGGATTCTGCAGCTTAACAGTCACATATAGAGCTGGATTGAGTTTCATCTAGTCAATATAAACTGACTTTTACAGCTTTTACTTCAAAGTAAGAGCTTGAGCTGCAACTAACGATTAATAATCAGACAGCCAAAGATTCTTTATAAAAGACTTTTGGCAGAATTAAACCATTTGAAACTTAAACTTTTTTAATTTGAGGAGTTCTGCATAGAGCATACGGTACTGACAAATGAAAAATCTTAAATAAAAAAATTGTATATTTATTTTTACAATTTTTGTAAAATTAAAGCTGTAAGTGGGTTCCTCTGTCAGCTAAAGGCATGTTTTAGATTCTCTACACTCCAGTTAATGATTAATGGATTACAAAATCTGATTAATAACTATATATGATTGTGATCATTATTGTACCTCTATATATTGTAAATAAAATGGCTTCACAGCATTGGCGTAACCAATGTTTTATAAGCAAAGCGCTGTTTCTTTGGAGTGCTTTACCAGAGCTGGTCTTAACATCCATGTAATCAGGCTGTTGAAGGTGACTTCCACTGCAGTAGAGGGCCAAACCTGATACAGATGGTTAAAAAACCTGCTGAGCCATGACCTTGGCCTGACTGAACACCTTTTGGATGAATTAGAGCAGCTGAGAGCCACATCTTCCCACAAACACCCTCCCAGAACTAATGGACTGAGGTCATATCGCCTGTTATTTCCATAGCTGCAATCATCAGACTGTGTCATCTAAGGTCACTTTCCAGATCCAGTTCAGTCAAACCAGCTGACTGCAACCAATCATTGACCTTGTAGGATTCTATTCTCCTGAATGAGCAGGCAGAGACAATAGATATAAGATTGACAGTACAGCAATCCCTCACACCAAGCATGCATATAGTGACAGTGGACAGGAAAACTCCCTTTTAACAGGAAGAAATCTCCAGCAGAACCAGGCTCAGTGTGAGCGGCCATCTGTTGAGGCCGACTGGGGTTTAAGGAGACAGAAAACAAACATAGAAGCACTGATTTATAATAAAAAAATTCTATATTAATAACGGTGAACTGGCTCCATATAGCCTTGAGCTGCCATACTGACAGGCAGTGAAAATGTCCCATCAGTCTGGAAAAGAGCTGGGAGAGCTCATTTCCAAGACGGGACAAACATGATCCTCAGCTTGGAACCAACCAGGTAACTTCTCATGTGAAGCAAAAACTCCTTGAAACAAGTCAAGCTGTTAAAGAAACTCCAGTTAATGATTTCTGTCTGTCTTCCCTAAAGTAAATCGGAGTATATAAGGTGGGCTCTCCATTACGTTATTTTAATTGCAATATCACTCCATTGTGGTCGCCAGCTTGTTATATTGCCAGCTGCATTATGGGTAATTCTGCCGCTGACGGTGGTTTACCAGACTGCTCCATGTAATCCAGTCTGGCTGGGATCCATAGAGGTCTCTGTCTGGGTGTGATTTAAAAGGACTGAAAACAGAACTCAACACTGATCCGTTTGTCCAGGAAGCAGAGCCAGCCTCAGTTCAACTCTATTAATCCAGATTTTCATCCTATTCAACTTTGAGTAATCTAACCTCTCAGCCAGAAAAATATTAAATCCTTAAAAAAAAATCATCTTTTTATTGGAGCAGAATTAACACGACTTTTAACGTTTTACTGCTCCTACTCTATTAGCTTCACTGCACTACTGTAGCGGTAGTGTTTTATTTACTTTATGGATTTATTTCTATTTTATGGACCTGTGATGGATGTTTGAACTGCTCTATAAATAAAGATCCACTCATTGAGAAAAAGCCCTGCATGAATCCAGCCCACTTACAGAGCCGACGCAAATTTTATATATTTTTTTAAATATTAATTTCTAAATAAATCGCACAATTTCACTTTAAAGGGATGCCTTTTTTTTTTTTTACATCTAAACATCTTTAACGAGATAGAGGTCATAGCATGAAAAATGCTTATCTTGCCGATAGATTGACAGATGAGGGATCAGCCAAACTATCAAAAATTTGATATTTTAACTTAATTTTGTTTCTGCATTATTTAAGCTTTTTTTTTTTTTTTTTAACACATTGCTGTTGAAACCAAAAAATTAAACAATGAGAACTTACTATAAATAAACTGCATAGTAAAGGGTCCCAAAATCAGACTCTGCCCAGGGCCCCTTGGAGGCCGGGGCCGGCCCTGTGCACACCGATATGACTTTTTACAAACAGACATTACCAGATGTGTCAAACGGTCTTCATGCAGGAATGAGGTGTTGAAAATGTAGGTGCTTGTTTATGTCCGTGGGACAGGACGCCATCAAATGCTGCTTAAAGGTGGAAAGAATTGTTTGTATCATCTCTGAAAGTCATATATAGAAATTCGAACACAGGGTCAAGAATTTCAACTTTTATTTCTTGTAATTTTGACCATGATGACTACAGGAAGGGTTAAACCCAACATTCACATGAGATTGATCAAAGCAGGATGTTTCCAGTTTCTGTGGTTTGCCTCTGAACTCTTTCTGGTTCTGATGAGGTCCAATAGAAGCCCAGGAAAGTCCGGTGGACCAGAACAAGCTGATGACATGTTACTAAATCATCACGGAAAACTTTACAGTCATGATGGATCTAAGGTGGGTCTGGAATTGTTCTAACCCTGATCCCGCGCCCACCTGGGACCTGGTTTTGGGACCTTAAGCCCGGAAACAGCAGCTTTACTGACGGCTGCAGACCTAAAAACCAGAAAATGAGCAGAATAAAACATTTCTGAAGGGAACAGAATTCCAGGTCATGGCAGAACAAAGACAGTCTGCTAGAGGCTCTTTAGCATCTGGCCCGACCGCATTCAGGGGGGTGGGAGAGTTTCCAGGATTATGAGGAGCTCAGAAAGAACTAATCATTTTATAAAACTATGCACTCGTCTACGTGAAGGAATCTGACCCAGTTTGCTGCAGAGGTTCCAGTAGAACAAATACCGACGATTGCATCTTTTTCTTTTGTTTATTTCATCAACAAACATCTGATCCTAAACTCAGAGACGTGGGAGGAGAACAATGCGTCTCCATGAAGAACTCCAAGAGGAAAACACATTACAGAAGGACAAAAATAAGGTGTACAAAATAAAAGAGGTCATCTGCAGCCACCGGAACTGCAGCAGCCCAGAAGCTCGGCTTCCAGAGCAGAACCCGATGCCGTCAGAAGAATCGGAGCACAGCAGGAACATAGATAGTTTACTCCATATCCACAGTGTTCATCTCGTTGAGGAAACTCTGACATTTCCCCATCAGGACTTTGATGGCCTCTGTGACTAAAACGTCAGGAGGCAGGATGCCCGTCGACTCCACAGTAACTGGAAGAGAAAAAAAGATCGGGATCAATCCCTCAGAAAGAGAAGCTTTTCTCATTCACTTTGCAGAAAACTCAACTATGGCAGAAAATGAGGCCAGGAAGCTGTAGAGCTCCACCCAGTGACCACTTCTGGTTCAACTAATCTGCTGTTTTTAGGGTTCAATATTTGTGCAGCTCGGTGGAACTGTGGAAAAATATGCAAAGATGTATGAATTTGTACATGTAAGTTAATAAACATGAACAAATGTTTATTAACTTATTTTTAACAGGACTACAATGAAAACAACTAAACATTATATTGTGCACAGAAGACATTTTAGTAAAGCTATAATGACCTTCTTGTTTAAAGGAGGTTGGCAAACCGTGGTGTGCATCAGCTCCACCATCTGGTGGTTCAAACGGGAATTCTGACCTGGAATCTGATTCCTATTGTTCTGACTTCTTATTTTCCCACAGGTGAAACATCTTCAGTAACATAAATATGCAACAAGTTTTTTTTTTTTTTCTAATCAAAGCTGAAGTAGAGAACCTAGACGGTGTTTGGTTCTTTTTATAGGCAGCGGGAGGGGCAACAGTAAAAATCCAAAATGACCACAGAGCACAGGCGTAACTTTCTGAAGGACTGGTGTGGACAGTCCCCTCCAATAATCTCCGCTTGTTTTCCCCTTTCCGTTCATTTCCTTTTGCCAAAGGTAACAGAGGTTGTAACATCTCGGTGTAACATCAGATCTGTTGCTTTGAGACATTTGATTTGTAGCTTTGTGGTTGAAGGAGAGACACACAGCAGCACTCAGTGAATATTAACCAGCAGCTACTTTGATGTTTAAGTAAAAGTTAGGATACGTGTTGGTTAAAGAAATTAGAGATCATGCCACCGAAAAATCAGTTTGTTAAACATATGGAGCTTTTTCTGCTAAAAATGGCAACAGAATGTAAGTTTATAACGCAAGAAGCTTGAGAAAACATAGTTTGTTCTTCTTTACTAGTTAAAAAAGCTTGACTTCTCAGAGGAACATGACTCCCAGTTACTGCACAGCTTCTACATTTCTCGAAATTTAGTTTCTGGCATCATTATATTACTATTTAAACTTTTTAAACAGAGAGAAGCAGGAAGAGCTGCAGATTTAAAGGTAAAACAGATCTACTGGGATATGCAACATGCAATAAAATATATCTCCAAGTTTACTAGAAAGTTTACAGGAAAACAATATGCTATGCTATATTTAAAATGCAGCATATCCATATTTTCCTGGATGGAATTGCAATTGTACTTCTATGGATGCATAATATATCGATTTTAGCATCGGAATCGGCTGTTATTCCTTATTCTTTTAAACATTGTTTTTGGGCCCTATTTATATAACACCCTGAAAGGAGTCTCTCCAAGTGTCGATAAATATCAGTGTATTATGGTTCTCTTGTGTTCTAAACAATAGGAAAGCATTCAATAAATATATGTTTGAGCTCATTTTTGGAAAGTAAAAAAACCTAATGAAAGCGTTAGGGTGGAGTAACTGTAGCTCCATCAGACCCCACCCTTAGAGTGCCCCCACCAACTTTCATCACAAAGTTACACCCCCTTGCCACTCTCACATTCCCTCATTTCTTTCTATCATATTTCTATCTCTTTGTAAAGTCAGGAAGCCCAGAGCTAAGATGAAGTAGGGGACATCATTCTGCACCAATGTCTCAGTGGAACAGAATATCATTATCTTCCTGATTCTTCAGCTGCTTCAGGTTTATCCGTTTCTAATCTCCTTCATTATGAAGGCTAATAAAAAGAATAAAGCCCAGAACACACCAAATCCCATTTTGCGTCTGACCGAACAGAAAATCATGTCGGACAAGGTTGTTGCATTTAGCATGATTTCCTGCAGGGGGCAACATAATTCCGGCTGAGATAAAGCGCAGGTCTATTTTAGTCGGACTACGCAGCAATTCAGCACCAATTTCATGAGTTTGACAGGAAGAGAGACGCAGTTACAAAGAAATACACATCTGCTTTGGGGGAAAATACAAAATAAAATCTGTTAATCTCACGGGGAAAGAGTCAGTTTGGAGTCACACATCGCGTATATATAGTAAGCAGGACAGACTGGTGCAAAAAGAATGAACGAAACATTAAAAAATAGAAAACTTTCCCCATGATAGGAGTTCGGAAGGACAGAAACGGATGAAGTAGTGATCCTCTTTGAGCCTCACAGAAACCAAAATAAGGAGGGTCAGACAGAGCAGGTAAATGCAGCCTCTCTCTCTCACCTCTTTATGAAAAAAGAAAGAAAAACTTGAATAAACTTCCCAGATCTCTCTCTGAGAATCACCTCTCTGTCTCAGTCAGAATAGAAATTGTCTTTTCTTTAACGTAGATCTCAGTACGTTTTTAATAGATCAACATTTTCTATCTGTTCTGGTTCTAGATGCGGCACAGACTCGTTAAGTGGAGCTTTTCTTAATAGAATGTGCTGTGATTTTTTATTTATTTTTATTTTTTAATACCTTTTCATAATCTGTCAAAGTCAAATGTGGGAAATAGTTTTAATGTGTGTGTAGCACAGGATCTGCTCACCCTGCCTAGTTGGAGCCTCTCTATGGGGTCAGTGTGACATGGAAACATATCTGATCAGAGATTAAAAAGTCGTACACAGCCGGTCTGTTCTGGGCTTAATGCAGTCAGGCTTCTCCATCAAATCTACTCTGCAGAACAGAACCAGAGATAGAGGAGCAGCTTTTGGGTGTACTATTCCTTTAAGTTCTCATGCTCTCTGTTAGGGAAAAGAGCCTCAGTTGCTTTAAATCCAGGATAAAGCGAACTTTGACTGAACACTGTTAGTTTTATCTCAAAATCTCTTCATTTTTAATTAACCATTTTATCTTTTTTTTCAGTAAAATCATTTTAAAGTCATTTTAAGTACCTTTCTGAAAGGAATACTGACTAAATCAGACACCTTTAAAAGGTTCTCTAAATCCAGCGGTCAGTCAGTGATGGGGATTTATATTAACTTCTCATTTTTATATTTCCTGTTTTTGTTTCGTTTTAGTTTTGAGCCGATCAGGTTAGCAAAGCAGAAACTATTTCCTGGAGTCTAGTTTCCTGAGATCAGAGCTGATACTACAGCAGGTAAAGATGTCAGAGATGTTAACAGACGTACAGATGAAATGGTCCCGAACTCTCCCCAGCTTTACGGAGTTCTTCAGGTCGCTGTGCCGGAGAACCTCCCTGCTGCACGTATCCAGGCGGCTGTTCACCACCTTGGCCACCTTCTTTCCTGATTAAAAAAAATAACAAACAACAACAATGTTTAGAAACCCCTCGATTTCAGATCTGGATTCTCGCTCCTCAACCTTTACCCCGAACGTCCTCCAGGTCGATCACCCCCCGTGAGAAGCAACGCTTCAGGCGCTCCGCCTTCTCGCCCTCCACCGGCTCCAGCAGGGTGATCTCTGGGAGGAGGCGGTAGCTGGCTGTCGCCACAGGAGAAAACTTGGCATGGTCCTTTCCTGGAGACAGAACCCCACCGGATCGACTTATTCTTCCCTTTGTACATTTCCATAGAGACCATTTTAAATGTCCACGCCTGCTTCATCTTACCGACTCCTTTTACGCAGTGCATGACGATGTCCAGCTCCTGTCCCGGTCGCAGCTGAGCTATCAGGATGTCGTCGTGCACAGGTCCGATACGGGAGTCTGCAAACACATCTGCCTGGTTTCCAATGGGGACCCATTCTATATCTTTGGAATAAACTGAGACAGAAAAGGACTTCATTTTGGTGACTACCTGGACTTGCAGGCAGTACTGGTTCCAACTAAATTCCCACTAAATGCTGACCAATCAAACTCACCCATGTGGTTGAGATAGAGTTCCCGTGGGTCAGAGGAATCTTTGCTAGCTCGGGGGTTCCTGCTGCATTTAATCTTCAGCTGAAGTTGAATTGTGTCGATCTCTGAAGCTTCTTCTTCGGCAGTCTCTTCACCTTAAAGGTAAATAAACAAAAAACCAAAAAATTCCTTCGTCCATCAGCTTGTTTACACTACCATGGCCACTAGAGGGCAGTTTTGACTGTTAGTTTGGAAAGGACTGTTTGGCCTCTCGATTCAGGAAATATTTCTGCATTAATTAAACAATTTTTTTAGCTTTTAGCTAAAAAAAAAAGTTTATGGTATTCTGACTGCCATAAACTAGCACAGGATCTGCTCACCCTGCTTAGTCGGAGCTTCTCTATACAGTCAGTGAAACATGGAAAAAAATCATATCAGAGATTAAAAAGATGTACGCAGCCCGAGTGTTCAGGCCTTATTGAAGCAGTTTTCAGCTCAAAAATAACAGCCAAAGACTGAACACCTAAAAACACACACAATCGTTCCACTATGCATTCATCTAGAATGTATAGTGGATGATATGATTGGCTGAATTTAGGTATACAAGCTCACATATAACTAACTGGCCTGCATAAGATAACAAAATCAACAGACCCCTCAACAGATTTTAAGACAGGATTTTTTTTTTTTTTATCGAAATATTTAAATTTTGGGACAATATGGTCTGATAAAGAGTACATTTATATACATGTTTAAGCCAGAATGATTTGACATTTAATTATGATTTCCCTACCACTTTAATAGTTTATTTTATATCTAATATTTGAATCAATGAAAGTGCCTTGAGACGACGTGTTGTGAATTGGCGCTATATAAATAAACTGAATTGAATCATGTATCCATCTATTATTTCATGGGTTATTTCAAGGGTCACATTCTGGACCTCTACTTTGAGAAACTCTGCTTCAATTGATAGATTTGTAGAGTGTACATTATTTACACTATATTTATCAGGAGACCTGGTAAAGATGTTTAGAACTTATATTTAGATTAATAAATCCATCTTTAATTGAATTTAATTTATTAAGTGAAGAAGT